AAATAAAATTAAATTAAATACAACGCAACGAGAAAAAAAAATTTTTCATAACTAATTTCCACCAGGAAAAAAGTATGACTTGAGAGTCAAAATTAACAAAAATTTATTGAGGCGTTTTATTAGAGGTTTTGAGATTATTCGCTATCTCTCTGATGCCTCCACGTCGATTTTCAAGCACTGTTCCTTTAACTTTTTCATAATATTGTCATTAACAGAGGTAAATAAAGGGCTGGCATGAGAAAAGTTTTCGACGACTTCGCAATCTTTACTTGTTTTTCTTCACTTGTCCATAAGCATGCTTCCCAATACTAGATTCAATTGATCACTTCAAGCATAACATTTTGTTGTGAAATTTGTTTTAATAGTGAAAGTCAGCAACGAAAAGTTGTACCAATCTAAGAAAATTAATTTATTGATCGCCCCAGCCTACGTCAAATTTTATATCATAAATTAAATTTTTTTTCGTTATTCCACACAATTACTTTCTACTTTTAGTGTTTAGTTTACTTTTTTTTCACTTTTTTAAATTACTTGGGTCAGATATTTTTTAATCACACTGAACTATTATTTTATAAAGCCCTGCTGAACCTTTAAATAGCTTTAATTTATCCGGTGTTTTGTTGCTTTCTTTCTCTCTTTTTCGGTAACACAGTTATATTCTACATTTTATTTTCATTTATGCTACTTCCTTTTAATAACTCATAATAGCCGTTCATCACCATATCTTATTTCCAAGCTTTGCCCCCTACCCCTCACTGCGCATTTTTTGCGTCATATTTCGCTCCACCGCTTTGCGAAAGGTCATGCCTAGTTGCGGAGAAAGAAGTATTCCTTTCTAAAGGTAACTTAAGATTTCTGTGCTCTCCAAGATGCACTACAAATAATTGTGATGAAGGCCAATTAATTATACCCTTAGCCACGAAGCAGCGAGTCATCATTTAGGCCTGCAAAGCAATCACTCGCCATAACTGCAACTGGCGTTGCATTGACCATTTGGCCTTTACGACATAACAACAACAAGTATTCTTAAGATTAAAAGATGCACCTCCACTCCACTCCGCTCCGACGCCATGTGCCATGTGAACGCGTCAAGCCAACAGCACTTTGAGCCGCAACTGCCGATTGGAACTCAGTTCTTTCGCAACTTTTGTTATTTCGCTACAAATTTCCGTCAGTTGGCATGAGGGGAAGCAGGCGKGGGGAGGGGGTGCTTGGTGGCGTTGGAAAGTACCACCAGAGCGGAATCACGTATTCTGTGTTACACTATTTTCGAGTTTGGCTACAAACGTTGAATCGTGCATGCCACACTAACTGCAACACACCRCCATTCTGCTATTTCAACTATAGACAGTTGCCACAACTAGACAAATGCAATTACAACAAAGCGTATTTGTGGAAAAAGTGCGATGCCTTCACATTGCTGCACCTTTCTGCTGGCTGCTGGCTGCTGGTGGACTGCTGCGAATCCTTACGAAGCGCCGACATGAATGCGGTAGAAGAGCGCATGGTGTTKTTGTAGCTATTGCAGCGTTACTCAATTTTCTTTAATGTTGCAACATTTTGTTGGCCACAAGTGGACTACAAATGAAAAACCAAATTAAATTCGCTATTAGTGACGTGCTGTTGTTGTTGTTGTTGGACGATTTGCTTGCTAAAGGAGGCGGAATGCTCCACCCACTCGGTCGGCGCGCACACGAAACCGATTATTTTTGCAGCGCAACAGTGAGTGCAACAGCAACAGCAACAAAAACTAATCACACCGTGCGGGCATCCAGCTGGGCTGCATTATTGCCAATCGCAGTTACAGGCGAGCGCCTGGTGGCGATGCAGCATTCGCCGGCGTTGAGCAAATCAAAGCACAACAACAACAATAGCAAATCGATGGCAAATAACACGCAAGTGAATGCCAACAACTCGCGGCGGTAATAGCGTCGAGCAGCAAATGATCAACAACAATTGTAACAGTAACAACAAAAGCAACAACAGTAACTGTAGCAACAACGAAAGCACCGAAGCGGAACGAACCAACGAATTCGTTCGTTATTGTTGAATTTGCGCATGCCCAAGAACAACAACAAAAACATTGAATCGCGTTATGCAACAACAACAACGAACACTCACAGGCGGCTTGGGGCGGGATGTGCGCGTCAGCGGCACAAGCGGCAACAACTGAAATATCGACAGCTCCTGTGGCAGCCAATTTCCCGATTCAGCCAAAAACTGCTGGGCGCTTACATTGATGGCCCGTTGAGATGCCCTGCAGCTGCTGTTGCCACCACAGCCACCACTGCCACCACTGCGAAACGGCAGCTACAACGGCAGCCGGTAATAAAAAGAAATCGAAATGGCAGCGAGACACATTAGAAAACAACAAAAATGCACAAAAACATAATGACAACCAAATAGGAGTGAGCAAGGGCTTTGTGCGACTGCGACTGCGCAAACGCCGAAAACAACAGTTAAAACTGCAAAACACAACAAATGCCGCACAACACGCTGCCAATAGCGCGCCAAGTATGCTAAACGGCGCAGCAACCCTGCGRATCCGCCAATACGCGAATGGAAATRCTGTTGACGCCGTTGTGTGGCAACTTGTTATATTTTTGGTGCTTTTGCTTTTGCACTTTTGTCTTGTTCTCACTGTTGTTATTATTGTTGCTGTTATTGCTGCTATTATTATATTAAAGTTGCGATTTGAGCCATGGCAAATCTTTTGATTATTTCCATTTCGATGTTCGTTGTTGTTAGTTGCTGTTTTCGTTTATTGGTTGTTTGTTGCTGTTGTTGGCTGGAGTTTTGACATGAATGGTTTAATTTGTTGCTGTTATTGAGTTAACGGTATTTTGATATTGCTTCCTTCATTTTACTACCGCTCGTACCTTGATTTATTTTCAATTATTACTTTCCACATCGCACATCATTGTTGCAACATGTTGCTGCGTTTCTAATCGGTATCAGAAAAAGTTAATTGCYTCTACTCCTTGCTGCTAAATTTTCGTTTTTTTCACTTTAACTTTAACTATGACCCATTTTTTTGGGAAAATCAGGCAAATTAATTATATTTRCACTCAAATGGATAAACAAAAATTAATTAAATTAAATGTTTTCGCATTACCAACGGGATTTACGGTAGTGCTCAGGTGCTAAGACTATCTWATAGGAAGGAGAATGAAGGCATTTAACGAAGAAAATGTTAACTTTGACTGCAAGCTATAATGCCCTTAACAAATACAAAATATTCTTTGCAGGAGCTTAATTCCGTTCGTTCAGTTGCATGCCACCTATGTGTTATAGTCATCTGTTCTAAATAATTTCTTCGGATAATGTATTATTGCTTTAGACAATAGTTCATGCYAAGCTTCGAAGAGATATTTCCTCAAATAAAAAAGCTTTCCGTACAAATACTTTATTCCGTTCGTTCAGTTTGTGAGCAAAGCATAATAAAACTTCGTTCTTAATTTTAAAATTCTTAATTTATTCTTCAAAATCTATCTCTAATAATAGTCTCCCTCAAAGTAAACCCCTTGGCCAAGTCCTCGAAACAGTTGTTAAATTCCATTCCCAGAAYGGGCTTCGATGCGCATAGCGATTTATCTTTGACTCAATATGATTTCTCCGGAGGTTGCTTGAGTTTGTTGACTAGCCATAATTCACACTCAGCTAAATTAGGCAAATACGGTAGTTGCAGCACGATATTATTTAATTATTTGGCGAAAAACTTACGAAGGGTCAATGCATGCTGCGGTACATTGTCGTGATGCAAATACTATAATTTGCCGGCCCATAATTCTGTCCTCTTGTTACGAATAACTKYGCGCAAACGACGTGTAATAGACAAATAGTATTCGGGATAATCGAMGA